TGCTCCGCGCATGCTCTATCAAGGTCCTGTTCATTCTCTCTGCAATGTCGTTCTGCTGCGGCGTCCCTGGAGTAGTCCTCTCTAAGGGAATCTCATTCGTAGCATAGAACCTCTTGAACTCCTCCAGCTCATATTCTCCATCATTATTTGATCTCAAGCACTTCACCTTCAGATCTGTCACGTTCTCGACCATGACCTTCCACATCTTGAAGATTTCGAACACCTCTGACTTGTGCTTCATGAAGTAAACCCACACCTTCCTCGAGTGATCGTCGATAAAGGTGACGTAGTATCTCGAACCGCCAAAAGAAGACACACTGGCTGGGCCCCATACATCTGTATGAATCAACTCTAGCTTCTGAGCTATAGGTGGCCTTCCACCCTTCTGGAAACTAACCCTCTCCTGCTTCCCAAAGATGCAGTCTTCACAAACCCCGACTTCCAAGGTGTCGATCCCGGTTAGCTTTCCTTGTGAATGTAGAATTTTCATCCCCTTCTCGCTCATGTGTCCCAGCCTGTTGTGCCACGATCTGTACTCTCCTTGCCAGCTTCAATTGCGAGGGTGTCACTCGCATGTGAAGTGAGGTAGAGAGTTCTTGTTTTATTGCATCGGGCAACAACCATAGTACCGTCGGAGATTCTCCATGAATCCCCGGTGAATGTCAAAACGTAGCCTTCTGCTCCAAGCTGTCCCACCGAAACAAGATTCCTCTTCAGCTTCGGCACGTGTCTCACGTTCTTCAAATTCCACTTAGAGCCCTTTATCTGTATCTGAACGTCGCCCTTTCCAACAATATTGCAAGGTTCATTATCCCCCAAATATACTTTACCAAAGTCCCCTGCTACATAGTTCTGAAGTAGTTTCCTATTAGCAGTGACGTGGAAAGAAGCTCCTGAGTCGATGACCCAAGAATCAGAATCGCTATCCAAAGCAATGATCAAGGCATCCTGCACGATATGAGCCTCCTACTCACCCGCATCCTTCTTTGGTGCTTTATAGACCGAAGACATATGGCCCTCCTGATTCCCTTTGATAGACCTAACCTTTGAGTTCGGCCTCTTCTTTACTGATTTCAACCGATTCCTGTTTTGGTTCCCTTTCTTCTGGCTTCTGCCTCTCTGCTCGAAACTTAGGGCTGAACCTGAACCTTCTGATTCGGACGATTTCCTTCTAACCTCCTCGGATAGAATCATGCTAACAACTTCATTCAGCTTCAACTTCTCTTTCCCCGCCGAATTGCTGATTGTCGTCACACAACCTGCCCAACTATCCGGCAACTGTGATAGTAGTAGAAGGGCCTGCACTTCATCATCGAATGTGATGTCCATGGAGATAAGTTGATCAACAATCGTGTTGAACTCGCTGAGGTGCATCGTGAAGGACCGTCCTTCTGCCATCTTGAGGTTGAAAAGAGTTTTGACTAGATGCACCTTGTTTGCTGCCGACGGTTGCTCGTACATCTTCGCAAGCGCTTCCATAAGCCATACCGTCGTCTTCTCCTTCAGAATATTGTGGGCTACTGATTTGGCGAGCGACAACCGGATTTACCCTAGAGCCTTCCTATCCAGTACCTCCCAATCACCATCTGACTCATCTTTCTTCTTTTCCTTTTCCTTGCCCATCAACGGACGATACAAGTCCTTCTGATACAGATAGTCCTCCATCTGCGATTTCCAGTAGGCGAAGTCTGAACCGTCAAACTTCTCAATCTTTGATTTGCTTTCCTCTGTCATGGCTTTCACATAAATTACTGAACGAAGCTCTGATACCAGTTGTTGGGGATTCAAAACAATCAAACGAACCCTTGCCCTTTCGGACCTTGTGTTGAAAGTAGGAAAGTAGGAAAGTAGGAAAGTAGGAAAAATACCACAAATAAAGATCTAACCTTGCAAAAATAGTAAAGGAGAAGAACACACAGATTTAACAAGGTTCGGCAATGTGCCTACGTCCTCGGGAGCCACACCACACAATCTTTTTATTAATTGAAGAAGAAAATACAAGCTCTCAAACAAGGGGTTAATCTCTCTGAGATTCTCTCTCTCTTTGCAGTAAAAAAAGCTCTCTTTTTGATGTAGTACAAACCCTAAAATCGTATGGGGTATATATAGAATCCTGGGTGAAACAGATTCCTAAATAGAACAGGAAACTGCCAAATTTACTCGCGGTCGACCGACGGTCTCGCGGTCGACCGATTGCAAAAATCCGAGACCAGTTTACTTACAGGGTTTTGGCGGTCGACCGCCCCGGTCGACCGCGACCAGATCCAGGCTCTCCCAGCTTGTGTGCACATTCGCAGTCGACCGACTCGGTCGACCGTGGATCTGTCTGCTCGTTTTCTCGTCCTTTTGATTCCAGCTCTTGTCTCGAACTTTGGGTCTACACCTTAGACTAACATAATATTGTCACGAAATTAAAACTATTAACCTTTATTCGCTTCCTTTGTTCCTGTCACCAAAGTGAACTTTGCTTATGATCATACAAATCAAGGTTTTAAATATCGGATGTCGGGTTCATGTCGGATGGATGAAATCCATATCGGATAGCGGAAATCCGGGATATATCGGGGGGCATTGACTAAATATTGGATTGCCATATTGGGTAGTGCGCATATGTATAATATCATATCCTAAATGTAATCTAAGCATTCATAAATTCAATATAAGCATACTTTATAAATTCTATAGACTAAACATATAAAAAGTAAATAATATATGGATTTGGGTTCATAAATTCTTTCTATCGGGTTCATAAGGAACCCTTAAACATGAGAACGAGTCAAACGGGTTTGGGTATTTATTACTAAACCCAAACCCGATAACAAAAAACAAATCTTAAAAAAAAGTACCATATCGGTCGATTTTTCAAAGCTAAAAAATATGCCGATATGCCCGATATGACCCTGATATTTCCGATTTGGCCCTGAAAACCGATATACGAGTTGAAAACGTCCATGTCGTGTCGGTCAAGTCCTTAAACCGATATGTCGGCTGACATGTCGGACATGTCGACCGATATTTAAAACCTTGATACAAATGTGATGATTTCTCCCTAGTTCTTTCTGCTATTTCCTGGTTTACAGATAGATGTTTCAATAGTAGTAGTTATACTAAAAAAGAAACCATGAAGACCCTTTTCTACATATAAAAAGAAAACATTAACTGCAACCCAAAATGGAACTTTGACAGATACAAGTATCGTTAATTAAAACCCCTAATTATATATGTGTGTGTGCGTGCAGCCTAACATAAATGCTCTTCACAGAATCAACGCTACCAGCAGGCACATCAGTGCTGATTGTACATTCCCTCTTGCACTCAACATCATCAAAATCCACGTAGTATAGCCCATAGTTTGATTTATATCCCAATTGAAGTTCAAAAATATATAAGAATGACCACAAAAAGTATCCTCTCACATTTGATCCATCCCTGAAAGAAAGAAAGAGAGAGAGAGAGAGGAAGCGTCATAAAAAAAAAGAATATTAATGTGCTTTCTTGGCCTTCTCTAATGGATGCACTATACGAAACGAGTAAGGTTGTCCGTTATACCTAATAGCCTCTAGAGTGTTTCTTATATATTATTATTATTGTTGACGATGTGCTCAGCACGTTCATAGCCTAACATACAAATTTATTGTAGATTGTCAAGACAATTTTGGGAGAAATATTGTTGAACCCATTACATTAATCGAAAGAAATAGAATCGATGACATTATAACTGGCATTGCAAAATTTGGACAAACAATAATAACATTCAAGGTAGTTATGAAATCCTTAGGGTCTGTTTGGATTTGTAGGGGGTGAAGGGAAGTTAAGGGAAACTGAGAGAAGGGAAGGGAAGGGAAGGGAGGTGTTTCTTATATATTATTATTATTGTTGACGATGTGCTCAGCACGTTCATAGCCTAACATACAAATTTATTGTAGATTGTCAAGACAATTTTGGGAGAAATATTGTTGAACCCATTACATTAATCGAAAGAAATAGAATCGATGACATTATAACTGGCATTGCAAAATTTGGACAAACAATAATAACATTCAAGGTAGTTATGAAATCCTTAGGGTCTGTTTGGATTTGTAGGGGGTGAAGGGAAGTTAAGGGAAACTGAGAGAAGGGAAGGGAAGGGAAGGGAGTTCCCTTCCTCTTGGTTACACCCTAATTTGAGGGGTAACAAATTTTATACTATTAGGGGGTGAACCAAGGGGAACTAAGGTGAATTAACTTCACTTCCTAAGTGTTCTCAAACAATGTGAATGGAGGTGAATGGTTCCTCTAACTTCCCTTCACCCTCATTCCCCTCAATCCAAACAAGCCCTTAGGCTAAATATTGTGAAACCCCCTTAAGTTTGGACGAACAACAATAGCATTCATGGTAGTTATAAAATCCTTAAATAAAATAGGCTAAATATTAGGAAATCCCCTTAAGTTTGGTTTTTTTTTAACTAATCTCCCTAAGGGGGGGTTATTCATTGGGATAATTTGGGATAAATTGGGTAAAATTATTCCAATGGGATAATTTCACCCAATGGGATAATTTGGGTGAGATAAAGTGGGATAAAGTGGGATAATGAGACAATTTGAGTGGGACAATTGGTATGACATTTTTTTATAATATTATATTTATAGCTCAATTAAGTTCAAGTTTAACTTGATATAACATCAAATGATTAAATAAATAATAGTTATAATATACAATAATATCATTTTAAAGATTATTTTAGTATAAAATATTAAAAATAATATAATAATATTAATACACAACCATCATTTCTCAACATATGACTGTAGCTTGCAAAGCATCAGTTGACGAAAACAAACAACCAGCATTTCTCAACATATGACCATGAGAAATACACTGCTTGTAATCACGACTCTTGATTAAGAATCACTCGAGTCTTTTATTATTGCACTGTTTCTTATGAATCAAACACAATAAATTAACCTGTATATTTCGGTAACTGAAGAATCTCTCTGATACAAACAGAAAGACTTGCATAGACAAAACAATAGCGATTACATTGAAGTTAAGAATTACAAAGAATTTATAAACATATATACAATGTCCATCCGAATGCTCTGGGTTGTAGAGAACTCTATAAATACAAGGTAACCATATAAAGCAGTAAAGCTTTGCAAGCTACACAGCCCTCGTGAACTTTTGATGTATTCAGACCGAAACAAGGCCATATAATAACTGTCATCTTTGTGCCAAGAAATTTTCCTCCTAACTATTGACTTTATCAACAACATGAGAAGCAACCAAGCTCTATGCAGCAATCATGACTTATCTATACTAAAAGAAAATGCTCAGCAACTTTGCGTAAATTACAGTTCCTCCAAATAATTATCTCCAAGTAAGTCACATTGAGCCTCTCGAGGACAAGAGCACCAGGAAAGCGATCAGGTTCACTTGGTAAAGAACCAGGTTCTTCAGCTTCATTGTTTTGATCATCTTCCAATACATCAGTTCCAACCCAATAGAAACAGAGAACTATACACCACAAAACGTAGATTTCCCCCCAACGATCAATGGACTTCAGTAGAAATTAAAACAGCTACCCATTAACCCATACAAGCTCAAAATCAATGGACAGGTGTAGAAATGCCCTAATTCATCGAAATAAAGAGAGACCCAAATTGAGAAACTCATCAAAAACACGGGTTAAAGGGGGTGATTTGAAATGGGGGAAAAGCAAACCCTAGTTGTAAATTGTCGAGAAATTCGTCGGATTCAAGTAAAATAAGGAGGATAGAGGGCTTACGACGAGGTTGAGATTGATCACCCGCCGTCCCCACCCCTCCTCCGCCGCGGCCTCCTGCGTCGCTTCCATCTCATGTGCACAGCTTCGGTGTACTTCCCGCGGCGGATGGCAGCGGAGGAGCAGGCGGAGGAGATGGCGGTGGGGAAATCCCTGCTCGGGAACGACGACGGCGGAGCGGCGATCGAGCTCGAGCACAGCGACGATGGAGCTTGAGAACGGAAGTGGGGTAATTCTGTTCTCCTCTTGTTCCAGGGGAAAAAATGGGGTAAATTTGGAGGGTGGGGCTGAAGAGTGATTATATAGTTGGGGTAATTTGGGGCAAAGTGGGGTATTTGTCCCCCATTTATCCTAACAAACCAATAACATCACAAAGTTGGCTCCAGTTCCAAATACCCCAATGAATAACACCAAACATTGTTGTTTCAAAAATTATCCCCATATCCCCAAAATTACACCAATGAATAACCCCCCCTAACAGTGTTACATTAAATGGTAAAAAGTCCAAAATGCACTATTTAAATTATCATTCTAATTACCAAATTAAATTAATTAATCATATTTTTCTCAAAAAAAATTTAATTAATCATATAATTGAATTAATTAAATCTGTAAACCTAATTGAACCTAACTATATTAGAACGAACATAGCAGGCAAGAATAAGGCCGCAGTGGGTAGATATTAGGGTTTGGGAACAAAGATAAGAAAAATGAGACAGGGAGAGAATAAGAGAGAAGAAGAATGTTAGGGACGGAATTTGGAACTTGTCAATAGAGCTGGAGATTTTGGACTGATACGCAAAGCTGGGGTCTGACTTGCAAAATCTTTTAACTACAAAGGGTTCTATTGTAAATGCAACGTCCAGCTCAGCCTAAAATAGTTGTAACTGTACCTGTTTCTGTTTTGGTTGTTTTTCTTCTGTTAGGCTGTGTACTGTTTGTGCACGTGCACAAACCCCAGCTCAGAGATTCAGTTGTATAAAGAGAGAAATTGTAAACAATGAAATAAGGAATGAAATTAGAATTGTTCTCTTCTTCTCAATTTCAGTCTCAATTCTCAGTCTCTGTTCCTCCTCTTCCTCATTTCTCTCTCAACTGTCTCTGTTTTCCTTCTTTGTATTTCTTTCTTGAGTTGTACAGGTTCTCCATGGCCAGAGACAACTCCAGGAGGTTCGATCGAGGATTCAGTTCCTCACAATTGGTATCAGAGCATGATCCTTCCCTATCAAGGCTTGATCGATCCCAACATCAATTGAGGGCAACCATGGATGAGCTATCTTCTTAGTTTCAGATTTTTGTTCAAGAATTCAGGAAATCCAAGAATCCATGCCAAGGAATGAGAACGATCAAGGAATATTGAGCTCTGGATCAAGAAGTGATAGAGGAATACCGACGTCAGGTGCTAGAGAAAGGAGCAAGAATGATCTCGGCAAGGAGCATGTTCCTCAATCGCAGAGACAAGCTGAGTTCAATAGAGCTGAAGATTTTGGACTGATACACAAAACTAGGGTCTGACTTGCAAACTCTTTTAACTACAAAGGGTTCTATTGTAAATGCAATGTCTAGCTCAGCCCAAAATAGTTGTAACTGTACCTGTTTCTGTTTTGGTCGTTTTTCTTCTGTTAGACTGTGTATTGTTTGTGCACGTGCACAAACCCCAGCTCAGAGATTCAGTTGTATAAAGAGAGAAATTGTAAACAATGACACAAACCCCAGCTCAGAGATTCAGTTGTATAAAGAGAGAAATTGTAAACAATGAAATAAGGAATGAAATTAGAATTGTTCTCTTCTTCTCAATTTCAGTCTCAATTCTCAGTCTTTGTTCCTCCTCTTCCTCAATTCTCTCTCAATTGTCTCTGTTTTCCTTCTTTGTATTCCTTTATTGAGTTGTACAGGTTCTCCATGGCCAGAGACAACTCCAGGAGGTTCGATCGAGGATTCAGTTCCTCACAATTGGTATCAGAGCATGATCCTTCCCTATCAAGGCTTGATCGATCCCAACATCAATTGAGGGCAACCATGGATGAGCTATCTTCTCAGTTTCAGATTTTTGTTCAAGAATTCAGGAAATCCAAGAATCCAAGCCAAGGAATGAGGAACGATCAAGGAATATTGAGCTCTGGATCAAGAAGTGATAGAGGAATACCGACGTCAGGTGCTAGAGAAAGGAACAAGAATGATCTCGGCAAGGAGCATGTTCCTCAAGCGCAGAGACAAGCTGACTTCAATAAAGCTGAAGATTTTGGACTGATACGCAAAACTGGGGTCTGACTTGTAAACTCTTTTAACTACAAAGGGTTCTATTGTAAATGCAATGTCTGGCTCAGACCAAAACAGTTGTAACTGTACATGTTTCTGTTTTGGTCGTTTTTCTTCTGTTAGGCTGTGTACTGTTTGTGCACGTGCACAATCCCCAGCTCATAGATTCAGTTGTATAAAGAGAGAAATTGTAAACAATGAAATAAGGAATGAAATTAGAATTGTTCTCTTCTTCTCAATTTCAGTCTCAATTCTCAGTCTTTGTTCCTCCTCTTCCTCAATTCTCTCTCAATTGTCTCTGTTTTCCTTCTTTGTATTCCTTTATTGAGTTGTACAGGTTCTCCATGGCCAGAGACAACTCCAGGAGGTTCGATCGAGGATTCAGTTCCTCACAATTGGTATCAGAGCATGATCCTTCCCTATCAAGGCTTGATCGATCCCAACATCAATTGAGGGCAACCATGGATGAGCTATCTTCTCAGTTTCAGATTTTTGTTCAAGAATTCAGGAAATCCAAGAATCCAAGCCAAGGAATGAGGAACGATCAAGGAATATTGAGCTCTGGATCAAGAAGTGATAGAGGAATACCGACGTCAGGTGCTAGAGAAAGGAACAAGAATGATCTCGGCAAGGAGCATGTTCCTCAAGCGCAGAGACAAGCTGACTTCAATAAAGCTGAAGATTTTGGACTGATACGCAAAACTGGGGTCTGACTTGTAAACTCTTTTAACTACAAAGGGTTCTATTGTAAATGCAATGTCTGGCTCAGACCAAAACAGTTGTAACTGTACATGTTTCTGTTTTGGTCGTTTTTCTTCTGTTAGGCTGTGTACTGTTTGTGCACGTGCACAATCCCCAGCTCATAGATTCAGTTGTATAAAGAGAGAAATTGTAAACAATGAAATAAGGAATGAAATTAGAATTGTTCTCTTCTTCTCAATTTCAGTCTTAATTCTCAGTCTCTGTTCCTCCTTTTCCTTAATTCTCTCTCAACTGTCTTTGTTTTCCTTCTTTGTATTTCTTTCTTGAGTTGTACAAGTTCTCCATGGCCAGAGACAACTCCAAGAGGTTCGATCGAGGATTCAGTTCCTCACAATTGGTATTAGAACATGATCCATCCCTATCAAGGCTTGATCGATCTCAACATCAATTGAGGGCAGCCATGGATGAGCTATCTTCTTAGTTTCAGATTTTTGTTCAAGAATTCAGGAAATCCAAGAATCCAAGCCAAGGAATGAGGAATGATCAACGAATATTAAGCTCTGGATCAAGAAGTGATAGAGGAATACTGACGTCAGGTGCTAGAGAAAGGAGCAAGAATGATCTCGGCAAGGAGCAGGTTCCTCAATCGCAGAGACAAGCTGACTTCAATGGTGAATTTCAGCCAATTCACAACTTTGCTATGGCCAGCAGTACCAAAAGAATCCCCATAGTCACTATTCACACAATGCTCTATCCTATAATGGAGGAAGTATTGTATCAAGTGTTTTCTCCATATGAATTTGTAGAGAAGATCGTCACCTTCTAGAAGTCAGCTGGCTTTTAAGCTCTTGTACAATTTTAATCACAGCAAAAGGCCATGGAAGCAATGAATTCTCTACAAGGGCACAACATTTATGATAGTTATTGTTAATTAGCCATAATAATTTCCAATCTTAGTGAACTGCAAGTTAATTACAACAATGAGCGATAGCAAGGGCGTGCTGATTGCAGTGAAGAATTTCAGCCATCATATAGTTTTGGTGGAGGTATACCAAGGGATGATCGTGGATCTTGAGCTAAGAATTAAGAGAGGACATGGAAATATCAAGGTGAGGAGCTAAAGAATCAAGCAAGAAGGGTTACGATAACGACCCCATTTCTCAAAATCGAAGGAATGCTGATTACAATAGAGAATTTCAACCATCTCAGAGCTCCACGTTCTTCAAACCCATGGGCTCATATCCCCAACAGAACATCTTGATCACTACTAAGGGTTTTTCTCAACAACCCAACTCTGTCAATCCCTTGTTCAATCTAATTCTTGATGCTAATGGAGATATCATGAGAGCAATGCCTAATTTAGGTACCTTGGTCTCTAATTCAGATCTCTCTCTACGAATGAGGA